AATCACTTTAGAGGGGTGCCTGGGTGGCTCAGTTGGTTAAGCGACTGCCTTCAGCTCAGGTCATGATCCCAGGGTCCTGGGATCGAGCCCTGCATCAGGCTCCCTGCTCGGCGGGAAGCCTGCTTCTCCCTCTCCCACTCCCCCTGCTTGTGTTCCCTCTCTCTCTGTCTCTCTCTCTCTGTCAATTAAATAAAATCTTTAAAAAAAAGGTAGAATTTAGAATAAATTTCAAAAAAAATAATCACTTTAGAGAATGTTTAGATTGATCTGTGAGTTTGGGTATTGTTAACTTAATCCATCCAATAAAAAGTCCTCTATCAACTTATATTTTTATGGAATATTAAGTTACCATCAAATATATTCCATACAAGAAAGGAAGGGTATGATCTATAATTTTTTCAATTTTTAAAATAGGACTTTATTCTCTGAAATCCTCCAGAGGTGACCAATGGACTTACACAGATTAGATCAATGATAGGTAGATGATAGATAGATAGATGATAGATAGATAGATAGATAGATAGATAGATAGATAGATAGATAATAGATAAAAGAACAAGTAGGTTGTATATCTTCAAATATATAAATGTGGTCATTAGTGTCCTTTTGTACTCAAATTCTTCCATCAAGTTAGCTCCTGTGCCATTTTTGACATACTTGAATTTTGATAGCTTTCTTATTTTCAAGCAAAGGAAACATTCTAATATCATTTTATTCCAAACATAAACTCAGTAAAACCCTTCTTCATTTTAGTGGGAAAATGTGTTTAGAGACCACAATCTGTGCATTAGGGTGCTTCTAGTACTTTCAGTAGTCCAAATGTGAAAATACATCATTAAAACAATTAAATAATGAGTTCATATTGATACCACCAACTCAAATTAAAATTTCAGAATTATATATTTTTTACATTTTATATTTTTATTTTATGGTAAAATTTTAGCTTCTGTTGTCATTAACAACATAATTAGCTATTAATTTTTCTTGATACATATAATAGTTTAATGAATCAATACCAATATTATTTAACAAGAAAGCCATTTAATATATTTTAAGACTTTTGTTATTTTTTTTCTAATAGATATATCCTACTGTTTCCTACTAGTCAAATTACTGTTTTCAATATATTTAAATTTATGAGTTTATAATAAAAATAAAAATATTTTTATTTTTCACTTGTGGAGGATACTAGGGGACAATTTCAGTATTTTGAAACTGATAAATTAAAGAAGCATCTTGCTTTTTTCATACACAATCTTGTAGTTTATGGTAAACTAATAATTGATCAGGAATGTTTCATTTTTATAAAATATTCCCACTAATAAATCAAGAAAGAATGATAGAATTAGATCAGCAACTTAACAACTGGTATGTTTTGGGGCAAAGTCCTTATGTTTTATGAGTTTATTTGTAGTATTTGTAAGTGGGAATGCTCGTTACCAGGCTTTGCCCTTAGGTATCTCCCTGTAACTGAACCAAAATTTCAAGAGAAAGTATATTAGGAATGGTAGGCTAACTAAGGTAGTAATCAGTCCCCAAATATTAATGCCTTAGTAAAATAAAAGGGCTTTTTTATACTCCCATTACATGGCTATGTGATCCTGTTCCATGAAGTCAAACATGAAACAGTCCACCTCTATCACTCCATTTCCTTTTAGGCCCTTGCAATGCTCTATATGGATTTTGGTTAACTAAGTGATTTGCTTTGGTCAAAGTTGCATCAGCAAACATGCAATCAGAGGCCTCACAATCGCTCACCATCTTGTTGATCTTGGAGACTTTACCAATGGGAATTTGCTTGTGAGAGTATGAGAAACCACGCAGGGAGAACCAGTGCACCCCAACAAGCCCTACTGACCTAGCAGCTAAGTGCAGATGAATGGGCAGGCCTCACAAGACATTCTGAGCCTTACCAGAAACTGCCCAGATTAACCAAGACCTGTAGAATCTTGGAATGATTGTTGTTTTAAGTCAGTTTTGGAGTAGTTTGTTATTTGGCAATGGATAACTAATACACTGAGAATATAGTTGAAGCAAGATTAGCCAAATATAATAATATGATAAAATCAGGTTCATTTTATACTTTTCATTCTTTACATGAATTTCAAACATTCTATAATAAAAAGTTTAAAAGAAACTACTGAATGTCAGTATCATTTGAAACAATTTTTAGTTCATTTGTTTTAATTTCCTTTCAGTGTTTAGGAATTGCTCTTTTTTATTATATTTGATTTTTTAAATTATTTAAAATATTTCTTTCCAAAATTTAAAATATAAATATCCAGAAAGTTCTAGCTTTCATCTCTGTCCCCTCTCCCCCATTCTTTCTCTCTCTCTCCCCTTAGATATCCATTTATATTAGTTGTTACATGACTATTTGGGGAGGCGTTTTAGAGATTTGTTAGTGAATTATTTGTGACCAATACATAGACAACTAGGCAAACAGGAAAATAAGGCAGTTATTAATTTCAAGAAAAACTACATTTGTTTGAGAAAAGGAAAATTAATCACATTATGAGATTTGCTCTTTGTGAGTGGCATGTATGTTGTCACATCACTGTAAACGGTATCCATTAATCTAACTAAAATTACAATACAACTATATTGGAGATATGGGGGATAGAAAGTTCTTTGGATGTGGGGGGTAAAGAAAAAGCCAAATTCTTATCTTTATGTTAGTAAGTGAATAAAAAACCGTGTAAGTGAAAATAAACCAAGAAGTAGCAGTTTGGACATGCTATTCAGAAATACAAATAGTCAATACCAAAAGAATGAACTAAGAACTAAAAGTCATCTTCTTTGTAGAAGGGTGGTGGGAACTGTTGGTTTTTCATAAGGACCTTTGTTGATTATTTTGTGAGTATGTCTTTGAATCCTTACTAGTTGTATGAGGTAGGCTGTTTCTTATAGCCCCATGAAAAAAATTAATTCTTTGAGAGTTTATTACCTATCTATTGCTGTGTAATGACTTATAGCAAAACTTGGCATCTGGAAACAACAGATTATTACTTCATAGTTTACCTGGGTCCTTGAACAACTTAGATGAGTGGTTCTGGCTCAATCTCTCATGGAGCTACAATTAAGATGTCAACCAGAAATAGAGTCATTTTGGTGTTTGACTGTGGCAGTCTGCTTCAGGGCTCACTTACATGGCATGCCCAGAAGCCTCCAAGCTCACTCATGTGGACCTCCTCCAGGGTAGCCTCAGGACAGAGCAGTTGGCTTCTCTGACAGTGAATGATCCAGGAGCACCCAAGATGGAGGCCACAGCCTTTTTAAAATCTAGTCTTGGAAATGCTATCTATCACCTCTATTATAATCTGTTAGAGGCACATCCATCAGTCCAGCCTGCACTCAAAAGGAGAGCAATAATTCAGGAACAAAATTTGAATGCAAGGATGTGTATAAGATGAGGTATCTTAGGGGTTGCCTACAACAGGAGAAGTGGCTTCTCCCAGTTCCCATAAGTAAGTGTAAGCAGTAGCCTTGTGATGTAGAACCACCCAATTTGATTCCAGGGCTCATGTTCTTAACCACTATGTAACTCATATTTGTTGCCTGTGTGGTATTTACCCTGCATGTGAAAGCAGCACCTCCTTTCACACTGTTGCGATCTTGAAAGTATAGGGTGGTGGGAGGGATAATATACATACGAGCTGACTTTCATATGTGTGGCACGCACCCAGGTGTGTTAGGTTTGAGCAAACAGAAATAAGCTATATGTTATGCTCTGTATATATGATGCAAACTATGACTCCCCCATTTACCTCTGGTTCCAAAAGTGTGCATGACTGCAAGAGAGAATTATAGGAGTACAAGGATAACCTTGAATTCACTCTAATTTATAAAAAGTAAAACCCTCTCAAGCTTTAGAACTTTATTGGTAATGAATTATCTGAGGCACCCCTCACTCTTGATCATGACAAAGTGCAGCTTCATATTTCTGGGATGGCGCATTATTCACAGGGGCATGTTGGCTAAGGTGAGGACCTGGTGCTATATCTTTAAAGCTGTTGAGAGCCACTGAAGTGTTTTAAGCATGGGAGGATGACATAATAGGATATGTACCTGCTCCTCTGAGCTATAACATTTTGTCTAAAACATCAGATGACATTCTACATTCTCATGCATGAGACAGCAGATGCCTCCTTTACACGCCACTGAATTCATTCATGTTACTGTAATGAGATTTATAAATTTCTCATATCTGTGTATTGGTCAAAGTACCCTATCTCAAGCCACCCGTATCTGCCTCTCTCTCTGTGCACATAACCAAATTTGTGGCTACAGCCAGGCTGTGAGCTTTCTATGACACATACTGATTGCCTCATTCATGGTCTGTTGTCAGGTGGCAACCATGCTATTGACACATATTAGGAATTCAGTGAATGTTGTTAAGTCAAAATGGACTCAACTTGATTGGACGTCTGCTCTGTTTTAGGTACCATACTGAGCTCTGGATGTACAGAAATAAGATAATGTCATTTTATTTTATTAATAAAAAATTCATGACCATATATATTCATTCAGTTTTTCATTCATTAATCAAACATTTTTGAACTGCTCTGAATGTGGCATTGTGCCAGGTGCTGGAACACAGCATCACACAGCACAGGGCCGCCGCTCTTACAGCTTCTGTGACCACCGTTGGGGACAGAAGAGTATATGATGATCCTAGCTCAGTACACTGTGTGGGCACAGAATAGGGGCTCATACATCAGCACAGAGAAGGGCCACAATTGAGGGAAGGGGAGATTTTTTGGAGGAAGTAAACTCTGAGTGGTTCAGAAGAATAGATGTCAGGATGAATGGAGGTGCAACTCCATCAAGTATTGGGACACTGGATTGGTAAGACCTGGGTGGGGGGAGTGGGAAATCAAGGCTCTAGAAGGGGAAGGGATCAACAATTAAAGTAAATATTAGTAGGAGTTACTGATCCCTCTAAAGTGATATGCAAAACCAAGCAAACCTTCATCTCTGCTGTCTTTGTGTCTTTCCAGCCCTCTACGAGCAATCCTGCGAGGTGTACAGGCACCAAGGGAACACAGCTGGTTTCTTCTACATTGACTCTGATGGCAGTGGGCCACTGGGACCCCTCCAAGTATATTGCAACATCATAGGTAAGGATCAGAATCCCCACTCACTCTTAACCTAGCTATGTGATGGTACACAGCAAAAGGAAGACCACTGGAAAGGGATATGTGTAAATACAAACTTAAAGAACCAACTTCTGTGTACGGGGGATGTTATTTAAGTAAATAATAGAAATTAGCAGCTGGGTTATCTTCATTAGAGAGGAAGACTTAATGGTCTTGATCACATTCCGCTGAACCAAGAATTAACTCTGAAACATTTTCTTTAGAGCTTGGCCAGGACATTTTCTCTCTTAAAACTCAAAAGCAGAAAGAAAGGAAAAACAACTAAACAAACAAAAAACAAAACCAAAATCAATAGGAAACCCTGACTCAGGAAGTGGGAAAGTGTGATTCATGTCTGACCCTGGGCATGGTGTGAACCCCATATGCTTTCTGAGCTTCAGTTGTTCATCAGTGAAATGGGAAAAGTAATTCCTTCCTCCCAGAGTTGAAGATAAGACACAATCATGAGTATTGGAGGAATTGTCCAGGCTACTTATCCAGTAGATGCTTAATAAGAAAAGTGAGCTATTTGCATTTTCCTGGCCACTCCTTTCTAAGTGCAGAAAGTCATACTAAGAATTAATTATTGCACAGATTTAAATACAATATACAATCACTAAGTTATTCTGAAAAATAATTCCTCAAAACCAAAACCTGATGTAATAGTTCCTTAAAAATAGAGCAATGCAAGTGCCGTCTCCATTGTGAGTGTCATTAATTGACACATACACATTTTTGTGTGTTTGTTTCAAGCTCTGGCCTTTGGAAATGACAACAGAATCTTGTAATAAAGCAGAAAAGTAGGAGGGTATTAGGGATCATTGAGTACTCAGGCCTCAGGCTTCCCTGCAACAAGGCAAGCACATTCACCGAGCTCTTTCTGTAGCCACAGGCTGGCCTGGGCACTGAGGATATGCAGAAAAATAAGACACAACCACTCTCATTTGTGAGGCAATAATATCAGGAAAAATGCCATGTACTATCACAGGTAGAAATGCAAGCAAACCATTGCAAAACTGATGATTATGGGCACTTAGCGATTTGTTCATCTGGATACAAACAACCACACCACACTTCTTCTGCAGAAGATGTTAGTTACACAGAATTAGATGCATTTCATTGCATTTCCTTAATACTCCGTCACTCCAAACTGCATATATGCTGGCTGCTTCTCAACTTCCCTATAACACAATTAGAAATTGTGACACTGTTTTTTTTTTTCTATGTTATGGTAACCTATAGCGTTAACATATAGGTGAAGAACTAGTTTTCTCCGTGGATCTTGACTATTTTCAAAATGTAATTAACACATGGAGCTCCAGTGATTCTTGTTAAAAACTCAGACTTTCTAGCTTAAGAAATTGATTTCAGTAAATGCCCTTTTACTGAGTCCCCTAAGTGATTCCAATGCAAACTGTCCCTGGTTTACTCCTTACCAAAAAACAGAGGGAGTGATTTGGCTGCAGAATAAGGGCAAGGGGACCAATGCCTGCTGATGAGAGATCAGTTGTGATTGCTTGTCTCCTACCCACTTTGGGAGCTGAACTGAGAGTTTACAAATACCATTTCTTGCACTCCTCACAATAAAAACCTGAGATAGATATTTTTATCTCTATCTTACACAGAAAGAAAGAGAATATGAGAATTTCATGACTTGCTCAAGGTAATAAATACTGGGACTAATAGTCAAGACTCAGGAAGCAAACAAAAGCTTCTGGTGCAGTAATAATTTATATCACTCAAGCATTAACTGGATACTTTGTATTGCTTATGTTTTGCTTTAAACTGATTTTATTTTTGTTATAAAATAAGTCAATATTAATTATAGAAAATTTAACGAAAAAAGCAAGGTCTGAAGAAATTGTTAAAGTCACCTTTAAACCACAATCCACAGATTGCCATTGTTATTTTATTGTTAGGATTTCCTTGGGATTTCTTTTTTCTGTGAATGCATATGTGTGCTTCTTCTATGAATGTACATATTTTAAATATATATTTTAAAATCATGAATTTAATAGATAAGCATAGACTTGCCCTTATATCATTAAAATATACTTTGAGATTAAAATATATACATTAAATATGGCTTAAAATTGTTAAACTCTTCAAAATTATGTAAGCACTGACACGGAGGGATTATTGATTCATAGGTCTCATTTACATGGTGTACCCTGCCTCTTTGGAAAGACTTTTCTTGGGGCTAATGTATGATATTTTATCCAGGAATGGCTAAAGAGGAATGCTTACTTGTATTTAAAGGTTGCTATTTTGCTGATGTAATACTGAAGGAATCGGGACCTCGGAGTTGTCCTGGAGTTCCTAGGTTTGATTATGTGTGACTGGGCATTTCTTTTACATATGCTGTTTTGGTTATGTGCAGTTGCAAAACATAGGTTTTTCTTCTTTTTGTTTTTGTTTTCCTAAAAGAACTATAAAAATAAAAGCAAACCTCAGCACAGGATAAATTCTATAATTCTCATATTTAACTGACACACATTTTAATACATCAATATAATGATAATCAAACACATGTTTTTTCTATTTATAATTGTTAAATGTTCTTAAATATGAATGACTTGTGACACCAGTGAAAGTGTAACGAAGTGGCGCAGGGAAGAGAGGGAAGGAGGAGGGAGAGAGAGAATGGACAAACAGAACGGAAGGAACAGAACAGTGTGGGGTGGGGTGGGAGGGAGACTCGTTCTGTGTTTAACTCCCGTTTCTGAAAACACAAAGTTGCTGTTCTCTGCTCTTTTCAGCTACATTATTGGGGTAATCACACAGAGAGTGTAAATGGCACCAGAGGCAGGGGACCTGGGTTCTCTGTCTGCACCTTGCACCAGTCAGCTGAGTGTCCCTGGCTTAGTTGCACATAAATAAGATCTGGGATCCTAAAATAAGGATGTAGGGCCAGGTGGTCTCACAGACCTTCCTCATTTAGAATTCCCTGAGAGATCATTTGAGGTTCGACAGAACAAGGGACGTTTCTCCTAAGAAATCTACAGATACTTGCAAAGAGGGTGAAGGGCAGGTTTTACATTGGAAAACAGTAAACTCTAATCACAACTGCATCTGTCTTCACAATGTGCCCTAGGTGGACATTAGCTTCCCATTCCTATACTGCAGATGGCACCTTATCCCTCCCAGGAGATTTATGTCTGTGCATCTCACCTAGCAGAGGGTGATCTTGGGGAGATGAGCTTCCCAAATGCTCACAAAGCAATGGCCCCATTCTCTGGAAGGCAGCATGATCTCTGCATGGGGAGAGTATGCCAATTTATGGGAGAAACCTAAAGGGGGTGATTAGGCTTTTTTATAAAGTGGACTGAATCTGAACCTCTGCACATTTTGACAGTGTGCCTGTGTTCTAAGTCGGTTCACCACTGCACTAGTGGGGGAGAGAGGGAAGGCTCACTGTGGAGTGTTGAGTGAAATTATGGATGAAGAAGATAAAAAGTTTCTGTAGGAATACACAGTTGGCCTACTTCTAACATCTCTATATAAGATTTATAATTCTGTTCAGCTCAATATAAGTTTGCACATTTGAGGCACTGTGAAGACTGCTATGGATACAAAATAGTGTCTGCATCAGTTTCTCCAGGCTGCTATAACCAATTGAGTGGCTTAAAAGTACCTGGAAGTGTATACTTCACAGTTCTGGAGGCTGGAATTCTGTCCAAAATCAAGGTGCTGCAGGGCCACGCAACCTCTGCACCCTATAGGGGGGAATCCTCTCTTGCCTCTTCTGGCTTCTGCTGGCTTGCCTAAACTTTGGGCATTCCTAGGCCTTAGCAGCAGCACTTCAGTGACTCCATCCCCAGATTGTCACCCTGCTTCCATGTAGCCTTCTTCTCTCATGCATCTGTTTCATCTCTTCTTATAAGGATATCAGTCATATTGGATTAGAATCCACCCTAGTGGAGTATGATCTCATCTCAAGTTGATTACACTTGCAAGGAAACTATTGCCAACAAAAGTCATGCTCACAGGTGTCAAGGGTTAGTACTTCCATGTATTTTTTGGACAGAATTCAACCCATAATGGTATCATTTCAGTCTCCTTCATAGGTTAATCATGGAGAAGACACAAAAGCAATTATAATATGAGGGTCATGGCAGGGTATGTATAGTGTTCTGGGAGCCCACTGGAGGAACACCTAACCGAGCCTCCTGTACAGTGGAAGGGATTTTGGGTAGGCAGATAATGCATGTCTCTAAGATCTGGATGGGGAGTAGGAGCTATCCAGAAAAAGGCAAAGCAGAGCATTTCCAGGAAGAACAAATGAATGTCAGGAACAGCATTCCTGCGTCCCATAAACCTGCATATTTGTGAGGGCCACCGAACTCACCAAGATGAGTTGCAAGTTTAGAACATTGAGAAATTCATCAAACGGAATGAGTAGGAAAGGATCACATTTACCTGAGTAGGGGCAAGCAAAAGCTGTTGAAGATCCATAATATGAACTATAGTTTCCCAGCAAAGAAATCTACTAAGTCAATTCCAGGGAAAAGAAGGAATGTTTTATGATAGACAGTTGTTGAGCATGCAGACTAGTTGACTGTCCCTGAATGAAAGATGAACCGCTTTCTCAGCACTAGCCAGAAGATGCCATCCTCATATCATGCAAGGATTTTAGCAAGATTCTCTTATCTTCAGGACAGTGGAACACTCAAAGGGCTTGCTCAAATTAGGGACTGTTTACAAAGGTGTGAGCTTATGAAAGGAAATTATGGGAAGGGGAAGAGCAGAGCTAGTAACAGAGGGGTTTTTCCCACCATCAGGCGCATAAAGGTGAAAGGAGGGAGTATTGCCGGAGTGGGAAGGAGGGCAGCATGTGGAGAAGCTGTACCTTGAGAGAGCTATGATCTCCTGTGTGGGAATAGTTAACTAGGAGCTTGAAGAACGCTCCAACTCTCCTTGTTCTTTCCAGTCTCTTCCCTATGTCTCCACTGAGCAAACCCAGCTAGATTTCAGAAGGCAAG